GGTTAGAAGGGTCTGCCTCAATGTTCTAGTACTATTAGGAGCATTGCTCGAGTCACACTGAAGACAGAATGTATGGCGCTATTCACGCCAGTATCACATTGGTTGCAGCATGAGGAATGCGAATTCAGATGCAGTGCTGTCATTGTAAAACTATCCTTAATTTGCATGTTAAGTGATAACCAATTTCATTTTCAATCTTCGCTTCCAAATTTTAATGGATGGAAGGTTATCTCATTTATTTTAATGATGTGGTGAAAGAGATGCATGCTTATATTATTCAGTGTTGATACCTTTCACATATGTATTATGAGCAGTCATTCCAAAAGGTATCATGAACTGCATGGGCATTGCAACCGACTAATGTACATAGGTACGTTGGGTGCACATTCATTGCACAACCCTTGGCATGACCCAGAAAAACAGCACCAAATAACTACTAGGTTAAGCTGCAGTTGGCCTTGCGTAACTTTTTATACTCGCCTCCATGTAACATGCGCCAATAGTGCACATGCTGCCCAGTGTTCATTGCATCAAACGGACCAGCTGTACTCAAGTTCCGCTCTGAGATTGTGCGTGGGCCTTGGTTCTAGGCCGAGTGGTCTTCCGAGTCCCAATGAAGACGTCAGGCAGAGCCCGCGACCGTAGAACTATGGCGTTTCTAAGGTGTGAAGATACCTATTCATGGGGGACTCTGGCAATTAACCATCTGACATAAAGCCAGCTTTGTTTTAGCTCCGCCAGTAAAGGTGGCACAAATAGCTAATGGTTATCGTCCCTCAAGATTATCCTGTCGCACACTTGAAATACGGGATATCTTCAAACGCTGCTCCGCGAAGGGGCTGGACCGGAAGATAAATATTCGGACACGCGCCACACCGACAGCTCGGAGTGCACGGCGGCCACGACCGGCCGGACAGAGAGCCAAACCTCTCAGGTTCCCCCGAGAGACGGGACCCTAACTCGGCCGACACCGGTTGCGACACAGCTCAACACCTCGTGCGTGCCCTGAGAACGGCACCGATAAAGTGGTAGCCTAACCATTTACACGAGCAAGTGCGCGAATAACCGTCACAGAGGGCAGTGATCAATTCGCAATCTGATGCAGATTAGAGCGGAAGATAGATGTCGGGCTCACTCACGTGCGCTCGCAACTCGATTACGGCTTCATTGTCGACGGCCTATTTGCACAGGCCGCTCGTTCAGCTCGTCTTGGCTTGTCTCTTCTCATCCATCTCCTAACACCGTCGAGTTACTTCTACTCTCCAGTGTCACCCATTGAGTCTTGTGTCTTGCATCTTGCCTTATCTGTTGTCGCTGGGTATCCGTCTACCCGTATTTCGTTCGTCTCTGTGTCTTATTTTACCAACCGCCTCCCGTATCGAAATCGATTAGCCCCTCTTGTCTCTTAGGCGTCTCCCGTCTCTCGTCTCCGTCTCTCTCCGTCTCCCGTCTCCCGCCTTCCGTCTCCCGTCTCCCGTCTCCCGTCTCCCGTCTCCCGTCTCCCGTCTCCCGTCTCCCGTCTCTCTCTCTCTCTCTCTCTCTCTCTCTCTCTCTCTCTCTCTCTCTCTCTCTCTCTCTCTCTCTCTCTCTCTCTCTCTCTCTCTCTCTCTCACTCTCTCTCTCTCTCTCTCTCTCTCTCTATCTCTCTCGCTCTCTCTCTCTTTCTCTCTCTCTCTCTCTCGTCTCTTGTCTCTCGTCTCCCGTCTCCCATATCGCGTCTCTCGACTCTCGTCTCTCGTCTATCATCCCTCGTCTCTCGTCTCCCGTCTCCCGTCTCCCGTCTCCCGTCTCTCGTCTCCCGTCTCCCGTCACCCGTCTCACGTCCATCACCTCTCGTCTCTCGTCTCTCAGCTCTGTCGGCTGACCAAGTGTCGGTATGGCGTGTGCCGCTGCACGTCCCTCGCTAGCCGCCCGGCCCTGTGAAATCGCGCCTGTTCTGGCCATATTTCACCACCGGCCGGCGGTACCATGGTCCCATTACTTTTTATTGTCGGTCGGATTTGATTACTGGGCGATTTGGCCGTCCCGGTGGCCCGCGGCAGCTGGCCGCCGAGTGGCTCGGCGAGCTCCGGGGCCAGGGGTCACCGGCCATCTGCATAAATCCCACCGAACTCGGCCCCTGATAACACGAAAGGGGCTGATGATCTTCGTGATGAAGTGTGGCCACGGCGGGAACAATTTTTCAGCTTTATATATTCTTAATGTGACTGGCCAGAGGGCCGATAGAGACGACGGGGTGTCGGTACTTGCGCGTCCATGATTTATGCAAGACCGTGGGTCGCCGACATAGCGCGCGACCAAACAAAAGCCCTAATGGCCCGTTCCCAGTACGCTGCCCCGTCTGACGGTGTCAAGATCCCCACTAGGGACCGCAGGGGAGCCGATATCCCGGGATAGTGCAGAGTTAGCACCTCTGCCCTCGCGTGCGCCGCGGTGAATTTTGTGTTTGTGCATGACTAGCTTCCAAAATGATGCTGTGATCAGCGGGTAAACGCGAGAG